CCTAACAAAAAGCAGAAATTCTTAGAAGGAAAATAACTACCATTTTCAATTTATACAGAGGGAAATTTCCTCAGTTACTTTCTTATTTTCAATCATGATCATCTTTTAGTCTCTTTGACTTCAATTTGTGCAGTTAATTGACCATTTTGTTGGTCTTTTAACTTCCTGTTTTCTTCTTCTAGACGATTAACTTTCTCTTCTAAACTTTTTATCTTATCCAATAACTCCTGTTTCTGTTTTTTACTTCACTCTTTAGATTTTTCTTGAAATTTGGCTACTTCTTCTCTTTCAATTTCTAATGCTTCCTCAAAAATAGCTAATTCCTCCCTAAGACTGTTTATTTGTCTTTCATAAAAAGCAGACTGACTTATTTCTTCATCAGGTAAGAGAGGAAGCTCTTTTTCTTCTAAGTCTTCATTGTTTCTAACACAGTAGCAAACATTCTTACCAGTAACAATATCAAAATCTAGCTTAGTTTGTAATCTACCACATCTATTACACTTTAACAATTCATCATTTCAATACTTTTCTTCACACTTTTCACAAACCACATCATCTGAAATTCACTCCCCAGTTATTTTACTACAGACTCTTCTTTGACAAATAGATTCATTATTTTTGTTTTCAAGTTTAGAGCAAAAATCACAAGTTTTTTTACTTTCTTTCTCCAATTCCAAAACTGTGTATTCCAGTTCTCTCATTGCAACCTACTCATTACTTAGACTTTACCTCTACTTGAGCAATCATTTCTTGGTTGTGAAAATTTTCCCTTTTGATTAGCTTTTGTAATTTTTGAATTAACTGCCTAAACATACTTTGTTTAACTGAAGTCTTGTTTTCCTCTTTTATAGGTAAAGCAGGTAAAGGTTTACTATTTAAATAGTATAAACTCTTTAAACTTTCATTTTGTGATTCACTATCAGATAATTGCTTGCTTAGTTTCTCTATTTTTTTGCTCTTTTGACTTGACTCTTCATCTAACTTTTCAACTTGGGCTTCTAAATAAGAAATCTTTTCACTAGCACTTTTGAGTTTTTGGTTTTTTACTTTTATATCTTCTGCTTGAGTTTTACTTTATTTTTCACCAACTGCTAAGACTTCTTTAACTTGTTCCTGTTCTATTTTCACTCTTTCTTCTAGTTGTTCTACCTCTGCTTCCAAATTTTCTTGTTCTGCTTCTAACTCTTGGATTTTTTCTTCATATTCTTGATTTTGTTTACTTAGTTCCTCACTTTTTAATGCTAATGCTCTTTTCTTTCTAAAAACTTTTTGAGGTTCAGATACTCATCAATGAACTCTTCTTCAACCTATTTTGCCACTATCTTTAATGGAAAAACCTACTTTTTCTTTTCAATCTTCTTGATTAAGCAGTTCAGTTATTTTTTCATCTGAAACATTATCATTGTGCAGTATAATGTCAATGAGAATTTTACTCATTATTTCATTTTCTTTGTTTAAAACTCTGTCTTTATCAGTCAATTGCTTTTCTAAGTTTTCAATTTTGTTTAATAATTCTTTATTTGCTTGTTTTTGTGCTTCTATGATGTTTGTCAT